AAACATTGATGTGGCTGTGTCCCTGTAGTATGCTGTTTTTAAGTCCTTTGGGTATAGACAAAGGAAAGGGATAGCTGAGTCAAATGGTGGTTCCATTCCCAGTTTTCCAAGGAGTCTCCATACTGCTTTCCAGATTGGCTGTACCAATTTGCAGTCCCACCAGCAGTATATGAGTGTGCCTTTTCCCCCACATCCTCGCCAACACTTATTGTTGTTTGTGTTTATAATGGCTGCCATTCTGACTGGAATGAGACGAAATCTTAGAGTAGTTTTGATTTGCATTTCTCTAATTGCTAGAGATGTTGAACATTTTTTCATAATATCTGTTGATTGATCGTGTATCACCTTCTGAGAAGTGTCTGTTCAGTTCCTTGGCCCATTTTTTGATTGGGTTATTTGTTTTTTTGATGTTAAGAGTTTTGGGTTCTTTATATACCCTAGAGATTAGTGTTGTATGGTAGATACTGATGTGTGTATGGTAGAAATTTGCTCCCATTCTGTAGACTCTCTATTCACCTCACAGATTATTGTTTCTTTTGCTGAGAAGAAGCTTTTTAGTTTGAATTCATCCCATTTATTGATTCTTGTTTTTAATTCTTGTGCTATAGGAGTCTTATTAAGGAAGGTGGGGCCTAATCTGGCATCATGGAAATTTGGGCCTGCTTTTTCTTCTAGTAGACACAGTGTCTCTGGTTTAATTCCTACACCCTTGATCCACTTTGAGTTTTGTGCTTGGTGAGAGATAGGGGTTAAATTCATTTTGTTGCATATGGATTTCCAGTTTTCCCAGCACCATTTGTTGAAGAGGCTATCTTTTCTCCAATATATGTTTTTGGCGCCTTTGTCTAACAGAAGAGAACTGTAATTATGTGGGTTTGTCTCTGTGTCCTCTATTCTGTACCATTGATCTACAAGTCTATTTTGGTGCCAATACCATGCTGTTTTTGTTATTATTGCTCTGTAGTCTGGTATAGTGATGCTACCTGCCTCACTCTTCTTGCTAAGGATTGCTGTAGCTATTCTGGGTCTCTTATTTTTCCAGATGAATTTCACGATTGCTTCTTCTGTTTCTATGAGGAATGTCATTGGGATTTTGATTGGAATTGCATTAAATTTGTATAGTGCTTTTGGTAGTATGGTCATTTTGACAATATTAATTCTGCCTATACAGAACAAGGGAGATCTTTCCATCTTCTAAGGTCTTCTTTAATTTCTTTTTTTAGCGTTCTGTGGTTTTAATTGTAGTGATCTTTCACCTCTTTTGTTGATTCCCAAGGATTTTATTTTATTTGAGGCTATGTAAATGGGGTAGTTTTTCTCATTTCCCTTTCAGAGGATTTGTCACTGATGTACGGAAATGCCTTTGATTGATGGATGTTGATTTTTTATCCTGCTACTTTGCTGAATTCATTTACTAATTCTAGAAGTTTTCTGGTGGAATTTTTTGATCTACTAAGTATAGAATCATATTGTTGGCAAATAGTGCTAATTTGAGTTCTTCTTTTCCTATCTGTATCTCTGTAATTTCTTACGTCTGTCTAATTGCTTTGGCAAGAGTTTCAAGAACTAAAGTGGTGAAAGAGGCATCCCTGTCTTGTTTCAGTTTTAGAGGAATGCTTTCAATTTTTCTTCATTTAGAATGATATTAGCCTGGGGCTTAACATAGATAGCTTTGACAATGTTGAGATATATGCCTGTTATCCCTAGTTTTTCTAGAGTTTTGAACATGAAAGGGTGCTGTATTTTGTTGAATGTTTTTTCTGCAATTATTGAGATGATCATATGATTATTATCTTTAAGAATATTAAAGCAATATTAATATATTGCTTTGATTAATTACATTTATTGATTTCCATATGTTGAACCAACCTTGCATCCCTGGGATGAACCCCATTTGATTGTGGTGCACTATATTTTTCATGTTTTTATATTCAATTTGCCAGAATTTTATTGAGAATTTTTGCGTCCATGTTCATTAGAGATATTGATCTGAAGTTTTCTTTTTTTGTTATGTCTTTATCTGGTTTTGGAATCAGGGTGATATTTGCTTCATAGAATGAGTTTGCAAGTGTTCCCTCTTTTTCTATTTCATGAACTAATTTGAGGAGTATTGGTATTAGTTTTTCTTTGAAGGTCTTGTAGAACTTAGCTGTGTATCTGTCTGGTGCTGGGCTTTTCTTGGTTGGTAGGCTTCTGATGGTGACTTCTATTTCATTGCTTGAAATTGATCCATTTATCCTGTAGGTATTATCCTGATTCAGTTTGGGTATATCATATGGCTCTAGAAATTTGTCAATGCCTTTGATATTTTCTATTTTATTGGAGTACAGATTCTCAAAATAGTTTCTAATTATCTTCTGTAGTTCTCTAAGCAGTTGAACTAAGGTTAAATTTTGCTGATTTGGAAAATATTTACAAACTTTCTTGGAAATCAGGTCTCATGACAACTAAGTTCCATGGTGACCACTCTATACTTGGAGGTCAAAATGTTCCCTTTTGGTCAAACATTATAGCCGTTATCATTGTGGGCACATTGTGTAAGTTCCTTTGGTGATATTCTAATTAGTAATATGTCTAGTGTCTTACAGGCATACAATGAATGTTCTGTTAACTTTAACCAAAGAAGAAAGCTTGGTATAAAATGTGTCATGTTTTCAAAGGTCTCTATTTACTGAGAGACTATCCCTATAGACCCATTTTAGTTTACTTGTCTCATGTGGACATGTAAAACATCATTAGTGGGACTGATGAAAAGATGAAATGCCCCTGTTCTTCTACAGAACTTCTCATTGTCCTTGTGATTTGTTAACTTCTTACATTAACAAAACTTTGCTTTCTCACACCCTCAGACAAAGTCTTTCCCAATCTATGTATCTATTTTCTTTTTTTTAAATATTTTTTTTAGTTGTAGAGGAATATAATATAATATATTTTATTTATTTAGTTTTATGTGGTGCTGAGGATATAACCCAGTGCGTCATATGTGTGAAGCAAGCACTCTGCCACTGAGCCACAACCCCAGTATTATGTATCTGTTTTCTGATTGATTTATTTTTATTAACTAAATTGTATGCACACTGCCATCTTTTACCCAAAAATCTACTTCTATAAAAGTCAGTGATTTGGGAGGCTGAGGCAGGAGGATTGCAAGTTCAAGGCCAGACTTGTCAGCTTAGCAAAATTGACTCAAAATAAAATTTAAAAAAGGGGCTGAGAATGTAGCTCAGTGGTAGAGCACCCCTGTGTTCAAACCCTAGTACCAAAAAAGAAAAAAAAAAAAAAGTAGCTCAGATTTATAAAACAAGGAAACAATATTAAAAGAAAATCAGAATTACACAAACATATTTCTATGAAGACCCCCCAAAACAATGACAAACAAACAACAACAACAACAAAACATTGTCAGAATAGAAGTGCTGATTAACAGGCTACCTGAGAGATCAGGACATTTTTTCTTCATCACCATTTTAGGAATAGGCAGCATCCAAAGCCAAGAATCCAAAAACAAAGGTAGTCTATAATTTGGTGGGTCAAGGAGAAAGGGAAAATTCAGACTGTCTTGTTGGTTAGCTTTCATTATCTTCCCTCTGCTTGGTGATTAAGATCAAACCCAGGGCTTTGTGTACACTAGGCAAGTGTTTTACCACTGAGCTACACCCGCGGGGGGTGGGGGGGGGGGGGCTATGTTGTCTTTAAGGAGGAATTTGGTGGAGTAGAATCTCCTTCAAAGGAATTTTTCAGTGATCCACTAGCTTTTTTGTATTTCTGATTGACCAAAGATTTTAAGAGAAAATAGATAATTTTAAAGTAAGATCTTCTGTTTCTTTTGCAATAGCTTTTTACTCATTTGGATTTTGAGCAAGAATGAGTGGATTCAAGAAAATTACTTTCTTTTTTTAAAAAAATCAAACTATTTTTAGAATGTCATCTTTTAAAGACAAAGCAATGTAGTGTAGAAGATTATTGTATTTATTTGCTAGGATTCCCATAACAAAGTTACACAGAGTGGATGGCTTAAACCACAGAAATTCATTTTCTCACAGTCTGGAGGCTGGAAGTCTGAGCTCAAGGTATAAGCAGAATTGGATTCTTCTGAGGCTTCTCTTTGGCTTGCAGACAGTTGTCTTTTCCATGTTTTTGCATGGTCTTTCCTCTGTATGTATCTGTGTCCCAGTCTTATAAGGATATTAGTCATATTGAATTTCCTCCCAAATGACCTCATTTTAACTTAATCACCTCTTGAGAGACTCTACCATCTGTCACATTGTGAAGTATTGGAAATTACAACTTCAGTATATGAATTTGGGGGAGGAGAAATACAAGTTAGCCGATAATTTATTTGTCAGGGAGGTAGGAGATTATTTAGGAAGGTCCCATGAAGATAAATGAAGAGAATCTAAACTAAGGTATTTATAATAAAAATGGAAATGAGATTTGAGATTTAGAATCCTTAAGGAGCCAGTAATTTGATATTAGACTGAACGTGGAGGAGTCTGAGAGGGAGGGGGCAGTGTCATTCCTGGATTTCTGCTCTAGGAGAAGGAACAGACTTGAGGGAGATCTGAGCAGTGTGATATATCTTTTGAGTACCTAGCACTTTGACAGTCATATGACCCAGGTGGGATCAACTCTGGGGACATCCTACAATGACTACTTTATAACATGGACTATGTCACATCCACTGTGCATGCAGGTTTCTCATCTTTGAACCTGCCCTTGAATATATCTTATGATAGTTATCACTCTCTTATTATTATAATTGATTTCAAACTCCTGTATTTTCCCTGATAAATTCCTTTAGGGTAAGGCCTACTGTTTTTATTATTTTTTTGCCCAATTCTTCAGTATCCGATAACTGGCTTCACACATCTAGTACATAGTAGAAATAGGTTGTGCTTAGCAAATTCTAGTTACAGGAATAGTGTGTCAGGAGGATTGTTATATTCTTTGCATATTTTAATCAAGGCTCAATATTGAATACCTGTTTGGCTTTCTTGCAGACTGAGAAGACTTTGGGACATTCCATGAGTCATTCAAGCAACATTTCTAAGGTAGAGTACTACAGAAATATATTACTAGTGCCTAGGGACTTTTATATTCTTATACCTTACATGTGTTTATACTCTTGTCTTTTGAAGACATCAAGTTCTTGATACATTTCTGTAATTTGCTTTGGGACTATACTAGGTATGTGGCAGTTATGTTTTTCTAGTCCACATACCTCACAGAAACCACTATGTTCCTGAAGGTATACCAGACCCCTACAGACCCCAGAGACCCCACCTACCCACCCCATGCAGTCAGACGGTTGACAGGCACGCCCTGCAGAGCGCACTCCTCCATGCATCTCTGTCATGTCCACTCAGGTCTCTCACATACACTGCCTAGCACCAAGCACTGTGCCCACTCTACACCCCATGCCAAAGTGATTAGATATACCCAAGGCTGCAAGTGGAGCTCCCACCCCTCATTCCATGGGGAACTGTTCTATGCATCCTCCCTAGGACTCTTGCCCATCAACTCTAGTAGAGGGACCACCATTGAGCCAACAATGGATTCCAAGCTGGCCCCTAGCCCACCTTCCAAATGTGTCAGACAGGAAGCCCCTTGTGAATGGCCTCCTCCGCTGTCCTGGCTCTCTCTCTGTTTTCTCAGGCCCTTTCCCCTTTCTGGGGTGGGCTGGCAGAGGCTTTGGCTAGTATGTGTGGAATCATCAATAATCTTTAGTGTTATTTTGGGGGAAGTGACTTGCAAGGGAAACACAGTTTCTTCCAGGAAATCATATTTTTAGGCAGAATAAATCTTAGTCACCAGAGGATTTGTCATCTCAATTAGGAATGCATTGGACTGAAAGTAACACAAAGCTAACTATGGCGACATAAATATAGCTTTATCTGGTTCAGATGATGAGGTGCTTGGAGGTAGGTGGCTCAGGGCTAAGTTGTTCATAGACATTGCCAGGTATTATGGTTTGGGTCTGGAATGTCCCCCAAAGGCTTATATGCTTAAATATTTAGTCCCTAATAGAGCAACGTACAGAGGTGAGGCTTTTGACAAATGACTGTATCATGAGGACTCTAACCTCATCAATGGATTAATCTATTTGGTGGATTAATAATTTGAATGAACTATTGGGAGGTGTTGGACAGTGATGAAAAGATGAATAGTCACCTGAGCTCTCTTTTCAGTGTTCCTTTGTACACTTGTCATTCTCCTGCTTTGCACATGGTCTCACAATGAATGAGAGCTGAGTCTTCAGCACTTTGGCCTTGGCAGGAATAAGAGGAATGACTAAGGAAGGGAGGAGTCTGTCAACTGAGGGACGCTTTTTGGTAGGAAGACTGATGCTTCCCTAACTGGAAGCCCTCTCCAGTACTTGACTTCTGCTTATTTATCTCACTGCCAGAACTGTCTTAGCAGGCCACCTCTCATAGGAAGGTAGCTAGAACAAGGAGGGATTGAGGGTATGGGTTAGTCATCCATGCAGTGGGGTCATCTAGTTAGCTTACCAGGAGCATGTCAGCTGCTAGGATGTGACCCAGGAACCATCAGTACACCATGCAATGAGCTTCCTCCCATGAAATGCTCCTCTCTCAGCCCAGAAACAGCCCTGGCTGTCTCCTTATGCAGCAAGACATGAAACTGATTCTGACAGGAAGATTTGAACAATATGATGAAACCTGTCTTACTGCCTCAGATACTCTGAAATAAAGCTACCGTATATGCCATTTTAACTTACTAACTGTATAGATGTTTTCATTAAGATTATCTGATTTTTTTTTAAACTAAAAGAATCTGGCAAAATATTTTTTTAAATTTTGAGTTGTAGATGGACACAATAACTTTATTTTGTTTATTTAGGTTTTTTTTTATGTGATGCTGGGGATTGAACCCAGTGCCTCAGGAATGCTAGGCAAGCGTTCTACCACTGAGCCACAACCCCAGCCCAAGAATCTAGCAAATGTTCTGTAAGACATTAACTCATCTCTTCTTAGGCATATTTATAATCTAATAACTTGATCTTCTTCTTAATTTTGCATAAAAAGAAAACCCCATAGTGCTTAGCATGACATTGCAGGCCATTTGCATTGTGGTCCTTGGCTTCTGTCCTGAGTTATTCCCCAGACCAGTTCCTTGAGCACTGGGCTTCACCATGTTGTGTGAATGCTTTCCCTGAATACCCTCTACTTATACAACCTCTGTTTCTTTCCTCTTGTTCTCCCTTCATCCACAAAACCTGGAGCTCTAGAATGGTGCAGTGGTAGGTCATTACTCTGGATAAAGAATCCAGTTTTGCTCTACTACCTTTCAAGGGAGCTAGCAAGTGTTGAAACACATATGCAGATGAAATGTTAGAGGAAGTTGAACTGCATGTGTTAAACAGAGTGCTTTTTTTTATTAGCTACACATGGCATTACAATGATCTTGACAATTCATACATTTGAATCAATTTCTCATTTTTCTGATTGTACAGATTGCAGAATCACATTGGTCATACAGTCACCTATATACATACAGCAATCATAATGTCTATTCTATTCTGCTGCCCTTCCTATCCCCGCTTCCCCTCTCCTCCCCTCCCATCACTTCTCTCTATCCAATCTAATGTGACACACTTTTTTTTTCTTTTTCTCCTCACAACATCATACATGTATTCTGTATAACGATGAGGGTCTCCTTCCATCTTCCGTGCATCTCCCCTTCTCCTTCCTTTTCCCTCCTACCTCTCTTTCCTATTTAGTGGTAATCTTCTTCTCATGCCCCTCCTCCCTATCCCATTTTGAGACACCCCCCTTATATCAGAGAAGACATTCGGCATTTGTTTTTTAGGGATTGGCTAACTTCACTTAGCATAATCTGCTCTAATGCTATCCATTTCCCTGCAAATGCCATGATCTTGTTATTTTTTAGTGCTGAGTAATATTCCATTGTGTATAAATGCCACATTTTTTAAATCCATTCATCTATTGAAGGGCATCTAGGTTGGTTCCACAGTCTAGCTATTGTGAATTGTGCTGCTATAAACATTGATGTGGCTGTGTCCCTGTATTATGCTCTTTTTAGGTCTTTTGGGTATAGTCTGAGAAGGGGAATAGCTAGGTCAAATGATGGTTCCATTCCCAGCTTTCCAAGGAATCTCATTCTGGAGGAAGTTATCTTCCCAAATAGTTCATGTGGTTTAGTAACATTTTATTTGAAGGAAAGTTTTTTCCTGTAATTAAAAAAAGCTTGTAAATGACTGACTTAAAATGTCTAGAAATTAGGTTAATGGGCATGGCATGGGGTGTGGATATTCTGACTTGCTTTGGAGGATTGGTTAGGGGGTTACATTGACTGTGGTTTATTAGTCCTGTGACTTTGAGAAAGGATACTTCTCTGAGCTTTAATTTCCTGATGAGTTAATTTATGGTAATAATGCATCTTTAAAGGTTGTTGTGAGTCTTAGAGTTAATATTAGCTCAGACCTGGGCTCTCTTCTTGCACAGAACCAACAAATCTGACTCTTTTCAGATTATGTCAAATCATGGCGATCATTTGGGTGGATTGGGTCTGAATAGTCTAGTGGTAGCTGCTATTATTTACTGCTAATCAAGGGCAGAAGCATAAGTGTTATCTTTTCTTCCTGTACACATTTTTATCATGTGCTATCTGTGCCTGGACACTTACTATGTCCACTACGTTCCCAGACACTTTTTAGGGTCATAGGAGAATCTCAGAAGCAGTGTGTGCTTTAGAACTCTGTTCACAGAACTTCCAGGGAGCCACTCAATGTGAAACTTTGTCACAAAGTATACCCCTCTGTAATTAAGAGTTACAGAGGCTGTATAAAGTTGTTAGGCTGAACCAGTTCATTGGGGCCAAGGGAAGCTGGCAGAGGACACTGTGGAAGTTACTTTTTTTTCTTGAAAATCGTAGTTCCTTTTTATCGCAGGATTTGTAAAATGAACCTGCTGGTTTCGACCATTTTTAGGCCATGGCATATAAAATCCTATCTTTAGTGTAACAGGTGTATTTCAGCAGATTCTTTATACCCTTGAGATAAAAGGTACAAAGAAAGGAGGTCAGAATAAGGACATGTCTTCTATTTCCCAGAATTCTCATTGTATCTCTCAGCAGATTTTTCTTGCAAATTCTCTGCCTCCATATGGGTTCAGCATCTTAGTTGCTCACCTGCAGTCTGTCTTGGATTTCTGCAGTTTACTTCTTGCTGGCAGGATATTAGAGGTTGATAAGAGGTGAACATAAACCTCAGTCTGTTTCATGGTAGTCTATCTAGATTGGATTTCAGGAGTTCATCAAATTTGTTACCACTCCCTAGTGGCCCATCCTAGTCACTTAAGTGGTTCATGTTACTTTTCCTTTTTTTTAATTTTTAACAGAGCACTTATTGCTGCCTAGATGTTTGAATTTATTTTTTCTGCTGCTGCTTCATCCCACTTAAATTCTGTTGACATAGAGTCACGTTTTGTTTACTCCTAAGCCTTCAGAGCCAAAAAGATAGGATGTAACCCTGGAGGTTCCCAGCAGTACTGAGTGAATGTTTGCATGGCATTGTTCCAGATGCTTTATACTCAGCCTGTTGTTTTTCCTTCATTGTCACAGCCACCTTCCAGGCCAAGCTTCTTAGCTCCTTTTTAGCTCCCTAAGAATCTGTGTACATTTTGACCACTTTTCTGAAATCCTTCTCTGACTAGCAACCTGTAAATGGAATCCTAACGCTTCTCCTTTCTCGCCTTCATGTATTTCATTTCGTTAGTATAAGTTCCCATCTTCCTACCTTCGTCTGTTAGAGTTAAAGTGATCTGGCACTGGCCACTTGGAGCCTCGTCCATCTCAGTGTCCCTTTGGTCATCAAAATCTAGATGGTTCTGACAGGTCAGTACTCTATCCATGCATGCATTTTGCACATGTTATTCCCTCTAGTTGAGAATGGATGGCTGACTCTTGTTTTCTTCTTTAGGTCTTGGGCCCCTTAGAGGGGCTTTCCTGGACGCCTTTTTCTTAATCTAAATTATCTCACTCATTTGGGTATTACATTTTTTCCCTTTTT